GACGTAGTCCACCGTTCCCATCGGCGCAACAAGGGGCGCTGGCGGCACCGACCCTTGCAGCTCACTGGTGATGAAGTGATTGTACACTTCGCGCTGCAGCGTGAGATATCCGGAGAGAATGTACTCGGCAGCTGTGGCATCAAACCCACCGGGGTACAGGTGATCCACGCCCTTTGTCGTTCGCGGCAGCGCGCTCGCGTTGAGGCGCATGACAACATCCAGCAGAGGCTTAGCGAAGTCACCCGCGACGTCGTTCACATGTATCACACCCCAGTTGCTCACCTCCCCGTCGCTGTCCCGCATAAAGTCATCGCCCTCGCTCACGCTGTCAAAGTACTGCTTGAACACGTACTTAAAGAGTGATGTGGACGCGTTCAGACTCGACACGAGCGACTCCGTGTACGCGCTCCTTGGCGAAATGTAGAGCCAACCGGAAGAGAGAATGCTCTTGGGGAAGCGCGACGTTTCGAGGAGCGCATCCGCGCATTTCGCGATCCACTGCATCTTCACCATGTCATCAAATGACGGGATGGGCACAAGATTCGATTCATAGCCCATGAACACCATGAGTGCAGACCTGGCGAAGGCAGACGGTGTGCTGTTCGTCCGGATGCAAACCCCGTCAACCGGCAACCCATCAGCGGTGCCGAAGCAGTAGACGTCACCGGCACCGCCCTCCGAGCACGACGTGAGGCTGTCGATGGGTGCCCCACTCACACTGATGTTGTAGCAGAGAGAGGAGGTGAGGTTGGCCTGCAGCGAGAGCACCCTTGCCGTGTCTTCGTAGCTCACGTACTCTTGCCCAGTGATATCTTTGTCCTTGATCAGTACAGACAAGAGAATGGTGCCGATGATAAATATAATGGGTATGATGAACTCGACGGCGGAGCTAACGGGAGAACGGATGCGCTTTAGGATGTGCAACTTGAGTGTGCTGCGGAGTTGCTGGCAAAACGATCCACCTTGTGATGTGCCACTGGGCATTTCCGCCATATTCGTCAACAGACGCTCGTCCCTTGTTCCCTCAGCTGCTTGCATAAAGGTTGCCCGCTCACCTGCGGGATGTCTCACTTTTCTCTTGCTCACTTGTGTATCTTTCAGGCGAGGCAGCAAAGGGTAAGAAAGGAAAAAATACCACACGGTGCGGTAGAAGCAGCAGGGCCACGTGACAGGAAGCACAAACAAATAGCACAGAGGGGAATGGGGGCACCAGCGATGTACGACGATCGTATTCACCCCACACAAAAGTATCCGCCGTATGCAGCCTCATTGACCGTAAAAGCGGTTGAATGTCAGCAGCACCAGCAGCGGCCCTACGTGCTCCCTCAGCACAGACGCTGACGGGAGGGCGCGCACCACGGCAACAAGAGCCTCAATGGCACTCTGCGTTCGGGAGGTGACACACTTCAGCGGCAGGCTTGCCGGGTCCAACGCAATGGCGAGCACCGCGGTGATGCACTCGCGGATGTGAGCGGAGGCGGCTAGCGGCCCCGCGTCATCCGGCTGTGGCGCCACCGGGAAGCACACACACCGCAGCCGAAGGACAAGAGCGTCGAGCCGTTGGCACAGCGTGATACACGAGTTCACCGCGCCCGCCGTCGTCAGGCTCCCCTCCATCTCACGCGCCACAACACCCACAACATTCTGCGTGAAGCCGAGGAGCGAGTCCACTGCAAACGCCAGCTCGAAGTACGCGCTGCCGAGCCCCCGCGTGACGCACACCGCGTGCCTCGGCCCCTGCCGCGTGGTGCCCATCGCGGACATGATGCGGGACGCTTCCACGTCCCGACGCTGCAGCCGCTTGCGCTGCTCACGCAGCGAGAGCTGGGCGTAATACAGCGCGCACAGGTAGCCGAAACAGTAACTCCAGCCACCCCGCGCCCTCGCCTGCCGCACGTCTGCTGGCAGCAGCAGCAGCAATTCGTCTTCCGCCTCCCCGCACCGGCGGTTCCTCCAAAAGTAAGCGGCGGGCTTCTTCTGCATGACCCCGGACTCGCTCCACACGACGGAGAGGCTGCGCGGGAGAAGAACCAACTCCATGTCCCACGGGAATGCGAAGACAAGCTCGAACGCCGCAAACGTGCGCAGCATCTCGACCGTGTGGTCGTCGCCAGCATCCCCCGACACACACAGCGCCACTCTAGGTGCAACGGAGAGACGGACCAGCTGGCCCAGCGCCTTCCCACGAATGGCGTCGGCGAAGGCGGCGGTGAGAAACGCAGAGGCCGTCCCGCTGCACGCGTACTCTGCCTCGCCCCGCCGGTGCCACCAGTGCGGCTCGCGCAGCAGGCGGTACAGGAAGGTGTACACGATGCGCTCGCTGTCGCGACAAAGTGCGACGTCGATGAGGAGTGCCACTGCTTCGCGGGCGTCGCGCCATCCCGCTCCTTGTTGTTGACGAGCAACAGGTCATGGTGGGTCCGGCCATCCTCCACCTGGAGTGCCCAGGCGGCACAATCCGGCTGCGTTGCCCCGAGACTACATTCGCCGTCGCTGCAGAGCACGAGCGGCAGTGCGTCCCCGGCAAAGCAGCTCGCCGTGTCCTCCTCCCCTGTGAACCGCCACGACTCGCCTTCGTCCGCGTGCCGGGCGGCAGCCGTGCTTCGGTTGGCCCGCCGCTTGCGACTTCAGCCCGTAAGCGCCCCTTGCCGCGCAAACGCGACGAAGCTGCGAAGGATGAAGCAGCCGCGACGAGAGCAACGACGCAAACGCGGCTCGCCGCCGCACACGCTGCGCCCCGCGCCGCTCTCCCCTCCGCTCGCCCGTACCCAACGCACAGCAGCACCATAGAGAGGATGTCGGTCGGCAGCGCAACACCTCTCACATCGATCCCGCCGCAGTCGCCAGCCCTGATGTGGGAGAAGGACAGACGAAAGATGCGTGGGAACGTCGCCCGCCAGGCATCGGCGTCGATCTCCGTCACAAAGCCAAATATAGCCGACGTCAGGAGCAGCACGTACGGCCAGCTGCAGTGTACCAGGACGACCATGTAGAAGCGGTACAGAGCCATCGTGTTGCTGTCCTGCAGCGCACTCATCCGTACAATGAGAAAGTCCATGAGGCCCGACGCGCGCGTCGCGGGGTCCAACACTCGGCTCCCCACGACCTCCGGGCCGCCAGCGTCGTCGCTGCACACATGCGATGCAGCAGGCACGCTCCATCAGCACAACGCACCGCCGTACCGGCAAGAGCGCCCTCTCCACGCGCCGCCCAATGCCAGACACCGTAGGCAACGCGACCCCTGGTTTTGTTTGCTCCCCCTGCAGCTGCAGAACCCACTGTGATAAACTTTGTAGCAAAGCACGAACGATGGCAGCGAAGCGGCGAAGAACAAGGCAACTTGCGAGCAGAATTCCTTCGGAGCCCGTGCAGGTTTGCGAGGAATCACCAAACGCGTCGTCCGCAACGCAGGCATTGTTGTACGAAATCGATGAGTCGAGCTTGCGCAGCTGCCACTCTGCGAGAGATGCGTCGTTTGCGCCAGCGATAAACGCCTCGATCGTCGTGCGCACATTTAACGGTGTCTTCTTCCATGTTTCGCCGTCAGCCACTGATTTGCGCAGCGACCACACGAGCGGGCCGCCGCCACATGCGGCGGATGCATGAAAACTGTCGTTGGGCGACTGTCGCAACGCACAGAGGGCGTCAAATATAAGGCGCTCCACGCCCGCGCCACGTACTGTATTTGGCGGAGGCTTGTCCGCGTCTTCTCCACCCGCACCATCAACCATAGTGACCTCCAGTGGCTTTGCCAGCAACGATGCCGCTGCTGCTGCGTCAGGGTTACGCCGCGCCAAACATGTGCGGTCGCGCATCGCGTTTTGCACGGAGTTGCGCTGCTGCAGACTTAACCTTGCCTTGCCTCGCAGCGGCGAGCGGCGCGAGGAGCGCCAATAGCTTGATGAGTCTCGGTCACTCTCACTGCCGTTCTCCTCCGCACTGCTGTCGTCGGTCATGCATGCTTCATAGTATTCCTGCAACGACGGATCGTGGTGGAGCGAGTAACCAGTGATCTTGCTCATTCTTGTTGTTTTTCCCCTTTTGTGACGGGTGTGCAGCCCGGTTGTCGCAAATGGGACAAACTTCCCTCCCCCCTCCTTTTTTTTTTCTCCACATGTTGAAATGGCAAAGAAAGTCAGGCATCGGGCGTGGTGTAGACAAGAGAGACAAAGGGAAATGAAATTAATCTCGCTCCCGCGGTGCTGGATCGGAAATCATGCCAAGTATGCAAACAATTGGGTGGAGGAAATGTCAGTGGGCCAGGGTGGAGGACAGGCGCGGTAAATATTGCAGAACATATAGCAAGCCAGATGAAATACAAAGGCCAACAATGAGTACCTGTAACATCAAAAAATAAGTTCAAGACAATAGAAGAAAGAAGGCATAAAAACCAAAAAAAAATCAGGAGAAAATGGGTGTGTTTCACTTGCCTATAATATTGTTTGCGTTTTACTATCTTCGCCACCCGACACCGTGTAATTTAACACATTTGAACTCTGACTATAGGACTGTTGGCGTGACTGACAAGCAGAGGTGCTGCGGCGTGCCACGTCGACTGAGACGGAATGTCTCGGCGTGGTGAGCGCACCAGCCTCGTCAATTAGTTCAGGACGCGCATGACAGTTCGCCATCAGCAGCTTAAGGAAGGAAGAGCAAAGTGTCCTTTCGCCGAAGCACAGGTGTGCTGTGAGCCTCGCCGCCCCACGGAGGCGCACCGCGTAGAGTCGTGTATCTCCGGCAAGCATACCACACGTTATGCGCTGGACATCACTGCACTTGAACTCTCCAATCATCCCACTGTTTCGGGTATGCGGCGAAACGATTCGCTTCTTTGCCATAAATTTCTTGTCGGCGTACACATCCTCTATGCGTGCAAGTGATATTTTCACACAACGGCCTTCTATTTTCAGAGCCACAGCGTCGCCTGGGATAAATGACCTGTGTCGCTCGTGTATGTTGAATGGATAGTTCGCGTGCTGTAGCGGCAGAAGCAGCTTTAGGAGTGTAATGCTTCCCGGGTTTGTGGAGCCCATCTCTACCGCGTCAAGTGACCGCATTTCCTCCGAAAGCAACGGTCTTGCCGAGACGACGCCGACTTGGTACCGCTGCTCATTTAAGCCGTTTTCTCCATGGCACCGTCTGCAGCTTCGCTGCAAAAAGACATCGGAATTGGCACAACCAGACTCAAGACTCATTGGGTCCTGCCGATTATGTGCTGACGGCACACTGCTCCTCAGGTGGCTATGACTTGACCTGGAGGACACCGAGCGCATTGGGGTATATAGTATCCAATCAATTGATAGCACAAGTATGAATGCAACACCTTTCTGTCTCTTGCTAGGGAGGTACACACGAAAGGGAGACCAAAAAACAAAAGCAAAAACAAATACAGTATCTCAAATGGAAGAATTATATATATATATATATATGTATATGCCTAATAAATCGAAGAATATGGTCATAAGACAGTGTGTCCCTAAAGTGGTACAACACCAAGCACCATTGTACACATACATCTGCAAAGAGGCTCGTTATGCCATACAGAATGCAAGCCAGGTTTACCTCGTTGCACCTGAGCGCAGTTGTATGTAACAACATCATCGATACTACCTCACCTCACAAAAGCGAGACACCAGCCTTGACAAACGTATTGAAATCCCATGTCGCAAGTCCATTTCCCTGCGCGCGAGTCCTGAAGGTATTATTTGCTTTGGTGATAAAAATTGAAAGCTCGATATAATCATCAAAGGCAAGGCCACCCTGTTTAGTGCGGTCAAAGTGATGCATGAGTGCCTGGAAAGTCGGATCATCCAGCTGGTACCCATTCGACCTGAATGCTACTCGCACCTCATTGCCATTGAGACGTCCATCACCGTTTGTATCCCTCGATTGAAAACCACTCCGCATATCTTGAATAAATGCGTGTAATTCCTGAAACTCACCAAAGTTCACCTCACCATCAAAGTCTCTGTCATACATGGAAAGCAACCGCTCGGTTGTTGCGTAGCTGAACTTCATACCCGCCGCAGACAATGCAGCGTTGAGTTCCGGCACACTGATGGTGCCGCTGCCAGACTGATCCACTGCTCTGAAAAAGCCCATTAAGTCTGTGCCCGTGCCGCCAGAAGGGGGCTGTTGCAGCTGCTGTTGCTGCATCGGGTAACCAGCTGGCGGCGGGTAGCCGTACGGTGCGTAAGGCCCGTTGGACGGTGGAAAGGCCATGAGATTGAGCAAGGCAAACCCACTACAGGATAAGCAAAGAAAAGAAAAAGGAAGGAGAAAGCGATGCACAGGACATATTTGGGAAATATTCCCCAACAAAACGGGGGAAAAAAAATCCCTATCAAGCGTGGTTTGTCTTGACACCCCTTTTTTCCCTTCCCGTCGCAGATTCAAAATGTCGCAAAGCACACCGGGTGGAACACGGCGCGAGAGCGGGAAGGGGGAGAGGAGACACACGTTAGGTGGAAGACTAGCGCAGGTGGGAAAAGTCTTCAAACTCCTCCTCATCTTCGTCCACATTGACTGCAAGCGTGGGTTCCACCTCGTCCTCCGGGATATCATTTTCATGAACAACGAAGTCAGCGTCAATATCGAGGCACTGCTGAATGGCGAACAGGAGTTTTTTCCGCATCACCTCCACCGAGCTGTATCGTGGAATGGACAACCAGTAAAAGCAGGTAGAGGCATGGGGAAGCCTGTTATCGTCAAACACGTCAGTCACACCACCACCACCACCACTACCACTACCACTACCACTACCACCACCACTATTGTTGGTGCTATCATCTCGCAGTGGTCGTGCGTGGGTGTCAGGCATCAGCTTCAACCGCACCCCAGAGGGAAGCCGTTCTCTGCCGCTCACAAAACGCATAAAGAGTGCACGCTCGTGACGGGAAAATTGCCGCAACACTTGTCGGAGATAGAGCACAATAGTATCATTGGGGTCCAAGTCTTCGTAGCGAGCGGAATCGAGTAGGGCGTCCGCGTCGTAGTCTGGCTGGCCGCACACCACTTGTTCGAGCTCGTACCACTTCAAGAGTGAAACAGCAGAAGCCGGAATGACCTGATGAAAGCCGTCCGCCACAGCCTTAACCTGCGCATGACCCATGGTATTTAACTTGAAGTTGAGTGCCATGTCGAGAAATAAGTCTACATTGTGGCGGTCAACCGAAACCCTTTTGCCGCCAGGGAAGAGCTCCTGTTCATTTCCGGCATCATCCACAACTGAAAAACCTCCTGGGCAGAGCTCAGCAATTTCATCGTCAGTTGTGCCTGTGCCTTTCCTTGACGACACGACTTGCCGAATGTACTGATAGGATTGAAGTGACGCCTTGTCAACCATACCGAGGTCGCCCACATCCACTGAAACCCTCACCAACGCCTTCCAAACTCGACTTGGGAGGTATATTGGAAGCGGCTCTGCACTGCGCAGACAACCAGCAATAAGTCGGCCAAAGAAATGATACATGGTAAGACGAACAGGGGGTTCTATCACCGGGCGAACCACAAACACTTCCCGAGACTCCCCAATCTCATTGATCTGGTTGGGGCTCGGAATAAAGAGTGGGAGGCCCGGGCTCATCAGCTCCGAGCAAAGCTGTGTAATACTCTCGCGGTACGGTCCACCAATGTCATCGGCCCCCTCTCCCACAAAACTCACCGACCACAATTTCTTGCTTGTGCGGAAAAGGGACGCATTCTTTTCATGTAGGAGTTGATAAACCTGACCAAAAAGGCTTCCACGCAGACGTTCCGCAGGAGGAACATTCATATCCTTCACAAGCGCCAATGCCTTGCGCCGGTTCAGTGTCAATTTGACGTTATCCCCCGAGGAGTTCGTGTGTGAGATGAAAACATGAAGTAGACGAAGGGCCACGACTGGGAGCATGAAGTCACGGCAGTGACGGAGCGAGCGACAAATTGGGCCAGATAGAAATGTGTCGTACTCACCTGGAAGGAATGCTGCGTGGGCGTACGGGATCATACACTCCGCAAACGCAGTAAGGTTCTGCAGGGTCACTAGAAGAAGCATGGCATTCTCACGGCCTTGAAACCGTTCATAAAGGATCGTACTACTGCTCCTGTTCAAAATATCTTCCAGACAGTACGCCGATGCATTCAGGAAATTTAACTCAGTTAGAGCCGTCAGCGATAGCAGCAAATGCCGCGCTAATGAGGGAGAGAACAAAGGGCCACAAATAACATTTCCACGGCCACCACCACTTTTTCGTCTGTCCCTCTTCTCTAGATCGCACGTACAGTAGTGGAACTCCAATGCTGTTCGGATTGGGCTCGAAGTGCTAAGGGCACGATAACCACGGGGGTGAAATGAGAGCTCGTCGTCAGCAAAGCAAACAGCTGCGGCACTCTTTGGGTCCACACCAACCACAGGCATGAGCCCATTCGCACAGTTAACAGAGGTAAATAGGATGCCATCACTGTTTGTGTCATGCACCTCCCGCAGTGGAACACCGTTTACGCTGTACGCAATGGTACAGGCGTCACAGTCCACCATACACCCCACCACATCCCCATGCTTCCAGAGCTGTCCTCCCACGCTGCGCTGGTGTTTGTTGTGCCGCGCCGTTGTTCGACTCCCCTCGAGAACCCAAGAATCAACATCGTCGCCCAACGCTTTGGAGCGCGACCAGTCAGCGGTTGCGGTGGAAGTGGCCCAACCAATGCTCACCAGCGCATCCCCGCGGAGGATCACCTCGTAGTACCAGCGACCCGAACGGACACACACACTCCCCCGCACAAAGCACGGATCATCCTCAGCGCGAACCTCACTTCCATGCAATGCCGCCATCTTAGTCTTGCTGTCGCAAGGAAGAAGACTGGCAGTGAACGGGCCGCTTCGTCCCGTTTGGTATATCATTGCGGCGGCATCAGCCTTCTCAAATAAAATAGGTAAATGCTTCACCTCTTTGTTGGGTGGCATGACAATGTCGCCGTTATGAATGTTGTTAGTGCTGTTGTTGTTGTTGTTGCTTCTAGTGTTGTTGTCAGCAATGGCTTCCCCGACGCTGACAGCTGCTAGTAGTGTCCATAGCTTTGATGTTGGTGACGTCATGTAATTCGAAGGGTCGACAGGTAAAAAACCAACAGGCAAACTGCACGCAAATGGTGCTGCACCAAAGTTCACATCTACCCCACCAGTGCCAAATGACACAGCAGGAAAAAAAGATGTGGGCCCCCCACTTCCACGGTTCGTCTTTATATTGTCAAAAAGACTCACCTGTCGGTCCTCGTGGACACACGCAAGGGTTTCTGCCTCGAGATCTAACAAGATGCCGATGACATCGAGTCCCTTCCACTTCGTCCGCACAGCGAACTCATGTCGAAAACCGTGGTAGAAGCGACACATTTGAGCACTTTCAAATCCCCATGAATCACCATCATGACCCAGGCCCCGGGGGGCCAGAACAGAGTGTTGCTGTGCACGCTCTGTAACCACACCGACAGAGATGGCTTCGCCCTTCGCGGGAATGCGAACCTCAAAGTAAAAGCGTCCTCTCTTAAAACCAACACTGCTGCGCGCTGACAAGGAACCCCGGTCACATGAAGCATACCAGGCACCATTACCCCGCTGAAATATAGTTGCCCTGGGCCGGTGCTGCACTGGGGAGCCAGAGGAAGGTAGCGGCATGAGCCGCACATAGCCCCGCTCTAGTACAGCCGCTTCTTGGATTTTACCAGCAGAAGCAGTAACAGAAGGAACAGAAGTAGGCGGTACAGAGGGAGTGCCGTAACCGATAGAACGTTCCCATAACGAATAGAGCCGCCTCCAGCGAATTCGTGTGCAATGCTCGTGGACAACATTTTTCCATGCCGCTTCAAGTCGGATAGCCGCAACGAGCACCTCAAAAGAACTTTGAACAATTGGATTATAGTGTCCAAAAGCAGGAGACAGGAGTGGGGGGCTGCTCGGCGATATTTGCCCACGATGCAAGATAGACATCAGCGGCACATTGAGATGTGCCAGCATAATTTTCAGTGGGCTCTGGTCATGCGGGGCAAAATGAGGCACTTGCCGCCATAGTTCAAAAAGGGCTGTCAAGAGTCGACATGCTGGCACTGCCGCGCCCTTGGTAGTCCCAGCGCGCACCGTCAGCAGAGATACAAACGGTGTATTTAGAAAGAAGGCCAGTCCGCAGTGGTACCTCGGGTGCGTCATTAAGACGTCACGCAGTGCACCAAATATGCCACACACAACAAGCGGCTTCAAGGACCTAGCCGACACTGTAATGGAAGGGGCGACAGACCGTGTACTGACAACTGGCCTCGCGTAAATCCAAAGGGTATCGTTCGGTATTTCCAACTCAGGCCAACCACCTTGTGCATCGGGGTACTTAGCGAGAAGTACCTTCTGCTTCCGGTCACGCAGCAATGTCATGTGTTCAATGGACCGACTGCTCGCGTCAAAAGAGATGCTGCCTCCTGGCCCATTGAGTGTTGCAATAGGCACTAGCTGAACATCCGTCGTCACATGCGACAGCAGCGGGAGCTCCACACAGAATGACTCCACCTCGTCATGCAGAGCCTCACTAATGGCAAATGCGGCTTCCCGAAAACCACTTGCTAGCTGCTTCTCAGGCACAATGGTGCGGAACCACAATTTGACGAAATCCGAGACCGCTTTCATCGTTTCTTCCTCAATGGCCCCGGTATCGCTATACCGCAACACATTAACAAGGTGACGTACGAGGTCCGTACTCGAAATGATGTGGCGTGGATCCACCACAACAGCTGCTGATGACGATGGTGGTGGTGGTGGTGGTGGTGAGGAAGCACTTTTACTACGACCTGCGATAGCGCTGCTTTTCTTTCGTCGTTCTTCAAGCACCAGGACACGGTAAGCCGGCGATACCGCCTGACGAATGGCGGCCACAATACATTTCCGGCTGAGGTGCGCGCTGAGACTCTTCAAGTATTCTCCTCCAACTCGCATCATCTGCGCGCGCTCAAAGGCGGTGAAGAAAGCATCAAACTCTCGCCGTGGAATAAACAATGGAAGATCGAAATGATTTGTAGAATCGGTTCGTGGTGCCTTATCTAAATTCACCGTCCCAGAAAATACGGGAAAGGGGGCCCAGCGTACGCTACCGTGCAGTGTACCGATACACTCCTTGTTCTCTGAGAGTGTTTGGCTACCCGTGGCCTCCGAGAAGCGGAAAGTGAAGGTGCTCCCATCAGCAACATTTGCTGCTGGTAATGTTTGCTCACGTGCCACAAAGTCGGCGGCTGTTCGCTGTGCTTTCAGTGTACGGGCACACCCCCAGAGCCGAACACTATCCAGCGCCACAATCAGCCCCTCTGTAACGTTTCCACTACTGCTGAGACTCCCACTGTTTCCAATAACAATGTTGCTGTTACTTCTGCTACTGCTACTGCTGCTGATGGTGCTCTCATCGTTGTTGTTAGTGTTGTTGTTGCTGTCAGTTGCACCACCTCGAGTCTCGAGGCCAATAACAAGTCGGTCAGCACCGCCCTCACGCAGCAGGGCCTCTAGGCGCAATCCAAGTTGCTTGGGTAAAATTGCCGTTGTACCGGCACCGTCCTTGTACAGTGTTACAGTCTTGCTCTCCAGAACCACCGCCATGTGAATCCAGTGGTCCCAGTCCTCGCGCAGTAATTTTGTAGAAACGATCGTTGTTGCCCCTTTTCCATGACCCATCACACAGTCAACGTTGCCCTCTCTCAACAAAACACGCATAAAAGGGGCAACATCTGTGCTCGCCTTGTCATACAGGGAGAATAACGTAAAATGAATATCTGGCCGTTGCCATGTAAAGGGAATAACGAAGTCCTCACCGAGCTCTGGGAAGAGGCGGTCGTACAACAGAACGCTCGCCTCAAGCGTCACACCGTCGGTCCACAAGGGGACACAACTCTTTTTGCAGCTGGACTTCACCGTAAGTGTCCCGCCTGGAGTATCCTTTGTCACGCTGAAGCAAAGGACAGATGGTGTGAGACACAGTGAGGAGTGCGCCTGCGGGAGACGAACAATGGAAGGCAACACATTGCTGTTATTATTATTGTTGTTGCTGTCGGTCTCCAGTCGCGTTACCAGTGAGTTGTTCACAGCAGCAACAGTGCCACAAATTGTTGAGGGCATAGGTGTGGTACCACCCAATGGCAAGAGGTGATGCAGCTCTGGGTTTGGCGGGGGCTGGCTGTACGTCACGCTGGAGGGCGAGTTCTGCACACTCCCAGGCGATGACGAGGGAACAACTGCATCGAATGGAATACGCCTCGGACACAACAACAACTGCTGCACCACTGTTGGGCACACCTCATACAGATACGACAGCGGCAATGGAAACTTTGCCGCAATGCGAAACGCAAAATTATCCACGTGACTAATGATGTCCTCTTCGAGCAGTACCTGGCTAGCTGCAGGGTCGTTTCTCAGCACAGCCAATGTGATACGCAGGAGTGCCGCTACAACAGCCCAAATGAGTGGCGACAGACGCTGCTTCGCTGGAGCGAAAAAATGCTCCAACGCTGGCAGCAAAAAACGAAAAAGAACGTCTGCCCGCGGCAGCGTAACCTCCTCCTGTGATACGTTAATGATGCTGTCAAGCAAAACCTCGCGTTCATCCAACAGCATAACCGAAGAAGCCGGCAGAACGGTCACCATATTTGACTGTGGGTGAGACTCTACGATGTACGCCGGCTCAGTTGTCGTCAGCGCATCATCGACGCTCATGCGCACCTTTCTACCAAAACCCAGCAAGCGTGTCGGCTCTCCACCAAGCGTGTACGTCCACACGAGCAGTCGTAAAGCGTTAATCCGCGCCACCCCCTCACTCTCATCTTCCTCCATAGCAAGGTCTTGCCTGAAGGCCTCATGTAGAGCAGAGAAGGAATCATCCCAAGGCCACTCGCACACAAGCGTATGCAGCGCATCAATGTTGCGTAGTCCCATTTCATTAAGTATGCAACCAGTAGATACGCAGCGAAGGGCAAAGGCAAAGAAGAACCCAAGTGTTGCACTCTTTTCAGTTGATATGCGAATCCCCTGCCGTGTCACCTCCATCGTTTCCTCCGCCCTGAAGAGGGTATCTGCAAGAGCCGGTTGACAGTGGCGTAGAAGTAATGCACTCGAATAGAGGCACGCATCCGCCAAATTTGGCACAACAGCGTTTGTCGGTGTTGTCGTTGACAGCACCTTTGCCATGACGCACAGGCGGAATGCCAGCCGCGCTGCACTGGAGCACATCTCGTCGTTGCACAGGAATCGATCAGGCAGCGCACGCGCGACAGTGCTGGAAAGTGTGCAAAGCAGGCTTACCTGTTCCAGCACGCGATCACTCGTGGGGGAACACATTTGCGTCGCACACTTGGCGCACCCGTGCAGCTCCGCCTCAATCACCTCGAAGAGCTGGTCGAGAAAGAGAATGCAACCACGCCGCTCGCTGGGTGAAACATCCGCATTGCCCAACACCACCGCACACTGCAGACCTAACGATTTAAGTGTCTTGAGAGACTCCATGAGCGCCGTCTCGTACGGAGTCCGCTGGAAGCTTACCTCACTGGCTTCATCATCGGTTGGGCCTTGCGCGTTGCTCACCGACGCCTGCTTCCGTGCGCCCTTCGCGTCGTAACGGTGCGTACGCTCTGTCGCCCGCTCGTGGCGAAGCGTCTCCGGGTTGGCAGAATCGAAGATGCTGCAAAACGCTCTGAACACGACTTCTGCCACCCTCAGATGGTTGAAGTAGCAAAAGTCACTCGGGAGCCAGTTCCTGTTGAGAACCTCACTGAAGGTCGCGGAGTGAAATGCGGTTCCGCCCAATGTCTTCTCAGCACCTCCGTCCACTTTGTTTAGACCACCACTCATCTTTATCAATGATACGGTAATGTCGCACAAGTGGCGGAGGATGTCGTACATTGTATGGCGCACAGCGCACCTCGTGGCGTCGGAGCAGCCGGAGATGCCGGTCTCAAAATGCAGCCTAGAGCCAACGGCACCATTGAAAAGTAGCGAGGCAACTTTAGATGCAGAGAGAGGGTCACACTTAAACAGACGGAGCATGTGCTGCAGCCCAGCAAGGCGGCGGAGTGCCTCCAACTCACGCGCCTCAATAGCAGCCTTAAGAGTTGGAGCCGTTACTTCTGAAGAGAGGATGATGCGCTCCACGAGTTCCACGGCAGCATCAACATTAAGAGGCCACCACCCATGCAGATGCGCCGCATTGTACAGACGTTTCGCCCGCAGAATGTAAAACGCCCGTCTCCACCGCATACCCTTGAGTTTCCCCCCTCGCAGCACCTTATCCACGTAAGAGTGAGCTAGAAAGAGCGATGGTATCTGTGTGCTCTCCACCTCCACGACCCTTTTCATCTGCAGCAGCAACTGGCAGCGCTCTTGCACATCAGACAAGTTGCGAGAAAACTCATTAGGACTAGTAGAACGGCGATTCAGTAGCTCATTCCGCGCGCTCCTCAAACGTAGTAGGGTTCGAGCAAGCAGATGAACACGTTCATTTTCTGTCAGTCGATCGAGTTGTGCACCACTCAGGTGAACAGCAGCGACCGCAGCCAACGAAATAACGGAAGACACTTCAGCTGGAGTCTTTGACGCAAGTGGATCATCCTTCCCTGCAAGTGTTTCCCAAGCTACCCGCTTCTGGAGCAACTTCCAAGTGATGATAGTACCAGCTTTACCAGTTGTCTTCGCCGCCCCAAGACCCGCCGACAAAAGAGGATGATCGCACATCCCCGCAAGAATGTCGTTTGCATCTTCAGGCGTGGGAAAAGAAGATACATTTGTCCCTGACGGCATCGAGGTCAACTGTCCCAGGCACATAAAAGATGCCACCCAGGATGAAGCGAGCAAAAGCGCGGTATCAAGAACAGGAAGAGGCCAGCGGTCGGCCATCTCAAGTTTCACCGGGTAATTTACACGAATGAGCTGCAAGAGTGCGTTGTAGTTTGAGCGGAGAGAGTTAAGCTTCTCAAGAAACCAGTCCGACTCCTCCTGCGTGACCATCAGTGGTAGCGCCGTCACAGCCGCATGCAGTGGAGACCCCAGAAAGGATACTCCCACGATGTCGAACATCATCGCCATCGCCGCCGGCGCCGCGGAGTGCTGAGGTGATACTGGTAATCGTTGTGCCAGCGTTTTGAATGTCATCTCCGCCGTGTCGAACAGTTCCCTGTAATATTCCTTGAGGACAAGATCAAGGCTTGGTGGCTGGGGAATAGAGAAAACATTTCCGAAGCCGCGTTGCATCCCTGTACCGTTCGTCTCCGCTGTGCCGATGCCGCCACACTGACTAAAGAGCAACAATTGTAACGTCCCAATGGCCTCTGCCATGGCGGCGAGAAGGCCCAGCTGATGATGCCGCGGCTCGTTTGGCACTTGGCTAGTCATCTGACGGGCAGACTCTGTCATTAGCGTAGAGAGGGTCGTCTTAATCACAAGAAGTTTCTCGTCTGTCGTCTTTGTATCCATTTCCCCACCACTGAATTCGTTCTTCTTCTTGCTGTTAATGTCAATGGCACTCCTCTTATCCTTCCTGGTGGTATCGGCTGCCCGCACTAAAGCAGCAGCGGAGGTAATTTCGGTGAAGCTCTTCACAATAGCGTCGAGCAACACGTTCAGTGCTGGGGAGCGGGGCATGCTCTGCTGATCACGGCCCAATATTTCACGCAGCAGTTTAGCTCGCACCGTAGCGCTCGGGAAAAAGAGCGTCACACCCTCTTGAATGATAACGCGGGCAAGAACCGCCAACTCTGCTGGTAAATTGAAGCCTGCCTCGTTGATGATATCGGCCAGAACGCCAAGTAAGCTGGGTCTTCGCTGCGTTGCGTCAAGTGGTGCCCCATCCATTAGCCCACCCTTACGGGGGTTTGCAATTGTGGTTTGTAATGTTGCTCGATCGCTCTCCTGACGGCCTGCGCTGCGCCTGCGCTGGATTATGCTCAACTCGTGTAGCACGTCACGCAGGTCATCACCCCCACTGACCTCAGAGAGCATAATTGTGTCAGGATGCAGCTTAAAATCCCGCACCCGCCGAATCACGCGAACCAAGATGCGCAGTGCGGTAGCAATCACTGCGGATGATGTGTTGTCCTTCAAGTTGGCGGAACGCCGCGAGTTCAACGCCCTCACGGCGCGGCAGTGTTCGCGAAGGAGGTGCTGAGTCTCCTGCACACACCGAACACTCACATCATCCAGGAGAGGACTGAAAAGCTGGTGGTCTGATACGGTGTCACTCGTCTCTGCAAAAGAGGACAAAATATTGAGCAACCACAGCGCCAATGAGCCGAAGGTTAATATCGGCCCGTGAATATTAATACGTTTTTCTTCATAGCGCACTTCTTCACTTTGCTGTGGGCTACACGATGAAAGAGTAACAGCAGCAGTAGCAACACTGTTGCCGCCACCACCATTATTTCCGGTTGACACCCCTCTCATTGATTGCGAAAGAGAATCCGAGCCGTAACGCCATGCGGCGGCGCTCCTCTCCTGGAAAAGAACAGAGGGGCCAGACATCGTGCCTACAGCCACAATCTCTTGTTGCTGTTGTTGTTGTTCTCCAAGGGTGTTGATATGAGCTCCTGCATGGAACAGCTCCCAGTACCTCCCCTTATGATCACAACCAAGAAAACCCATTTTGCTTTTTTGCCGCAACACAAAACTACTATTTAGGCTCAAACCAGTTTTGGCATTGAAAAAGACCACCTGGTGAGCATGCTTCATCTCGGGGAAGCCAGGAAGGGCCCGTTTCTTCTGCTCCATCATCCCAAGATGTACGCCATCGAAAAACACATGTGTATTCTCAAGTTGAGGGAGCTCAGTCGCCGTCGTGTTTGATGCGGGTTCGGCAGCCACTGAAACATTGCTGCGCAACGACGCGAACAGTGGGTGATCAAAGCATCCCACACGGGTAAAATGTCCTCGCACAATCGCATGTCGGTTAAGTGCTGGACCGGTTCGAACGTGGTTGTAGACAATATTCCCGTTCTGTTCATTGAAGAGGTACTGACAGAGGAGGCCCGGCTCGTCACCCGCTAACAAACGACGCGAGTCGCGGACAATCTCACGAAAGGATCGGCCACCCTTCCACACACGCAAAGCAGCCAGCTGGCACACACAGTCGTTACCGGCTGTCCACCTCTGTCGAGGATTCTCTAATGAGACCTGCGGTCCCTGTTTGGTGCGTGACACCTCTTCATTATCAAAGTACAGACGCCAATTCCCGTCAAACACCAAGGCCACGTGCAGAAACCGTGACTCAGATGCCAGACTGACGGGCGCCGTGACGACACACATGCCGCGAGAGTCGTGGCGATACCCACCGCGTATGCGCCAGGCCCCTTCCAACCGTGCTGTCTCCAGAAACACCTCCCCACTTGTACTGCGGTCACCGTGCTGGTAAAAGACGGAGGCATCATCTTTCTCAAGTATTTTGATCCAAAGTTCCACTGTCACGTGCCCACCAACGGTGGCCAGACATGTTTCGGGGGAGCCAAGGTCAACAACACTTCCTTTCCGCAGTGTCAGGCAATAGCCGAGGGTGCGGTTGAAGGGTGCCATTTGCAGAGTCGTGCGCCACTGCACTTCGGGAAAGCTGCTTCCGCTGAACACTTGCATTTCGACTCCCGAAGGAGTTGCACTACTGGCGTCAGCACCGGTAGTACCAGTTATAGTACCAGCTGTAGCAGCAGGGGCAGGAGCTGAAGCTGCAGCCGGAGGAGTAGGCGCAGCAGGCACCTCATAAACAAGCAGGATTTGATCCCCTGGGCCCGAGGCAAGCGCCATGTGTCGAGCGCTCAAAGGCCATTGTGGCACATCTGTAAGCTTCACCTTCTGTCGTATCTCCAATGCCGCACTATACACCACGACGGCAAGACCAGCAGCCACCATGCGATTCGTCAAGAGAAAGACTGCACCACTCTCATTAAATGCAATGCTGGATTTTGTGCACTGTTGGAAACAGTTTCTCGGCTCGCAGGTGGCGCACACAAGCGCGTACGCCCCAGCGACGTTGCTCCGTTTGGTGAGGCTGTCAACGGTGTGAACATAGACGCAGCCATTATCATAGCCCACGGACAAGATCGCAGATCCAAAGTCGCGTTCAAATGGCGTAAGGTGCTCTGTTTCCTCTTCAAAAGAATCATATATACTATTGAGATTGGGGAGATGACTTTTGGGTGTAAGCATCACCTCACTGTTCTGGAGCCACAAAAGCGTCGCGGGGGAGACTTCTTGCGTGGGAGCACGAAGAAGATACCGTACAGCTCGAAGAACCTCACTCACAGAACCACACTGCAGTGAGAGTAAAACAAGCAGCTCCGATAAAGCATGAGTCATGGTGCTATCTGTGCCAACACGACCTCCACTGCTGTTGCCACCAAGATCACCATGACTTTTGTTGTTTGTGTGAGCCCGCTCAAGGAGCGCCGCCACATTGTCTATCGCCAGACGTACCACTTCGGGCGAGAGTGAAGTTCCAACATGATGCGGAGCTCCCGAAGACTCCCCGAGGCTAAAGAGTGCAATCCCACGAAGATATTCCTGCAGACTGCACACAAGCGGCAACAATGTGGCATCTGTTGCACCAGTGCTGGCATGCGAGAACATATGAACAAGAACCAATGCGCCACAGTTTAATGCAGCATCCATTCCGCCATGATTAGGATTTGCATCACGGCTCGCCAGTGCGTGCCACTGTTTGCGCAGCATTTCTGCTGTAACGTTCCTGGCAAGAAATGCGTCGGTGGGTGTGACGCTGCCACTGCAATACCGCCGCACTGCCTGAGCGGCCCGAAACACAACCATTAGCCGTGCACTCGCCGCACGCGGCGTTTCATATTCCTGTACAACACCATCAACCTCATCCAAGTCAGCAGACAAAACTACAGTATTATTATTAGCAGTAGTAGCAGCAGTACCAGTAGTGGTAGTAGCGGTCGTAGCGGCGGCAGCAGGAACAGCATGAACAGCATGAACAGAAGCCGATCCACATCGTCGCTTCCGCCGCGTCACTTGTCCTTCTCGCTCCGAAAATATCGGACTAAAGACGTACGAGTCCAGCGGTACATTTTCCAACTGCTTTGCTGTCAGCGGCAGGTACACGGCAGCGTGCGGAAACGCGAGACGCTCGATCCATTTCAACTTCTTAGCGTGCCGGTCGTGAACCTTGTGGTACTCGAAACGGATAAACTGGTGACGGTAGTGGAGGGAGACGGCAGGATATACCTCCGGCGCAAGGTTGCTGATCTCCCCAACAACGGATTTGTCGCCAACACGCACCGTCATGCGTGCCGCCTCGTAGTCGAGAGTAAAGGTGACGCGGTCACCGGTGCCGAAGACGACGCTTGCGTTGGTGTCCTGCCGCCGCCAGTGGCCGTAGAACTTCCCCGCACGGCTCAGGCACCACCCACCGCCCTGCGAAATGAAAGAGTCATACTTGGCGAAGCTCTTTGGCACGATGCCAAGCATTAGGCCGCTGCCATCCGTTGTCTCGCCCTGATGCTCAATCTTCACGCACCACTCGTGCACACCGCGCCGGATGCCCTCCGTCACCTGAAGAGTGATCCAGCCGTTTCCAGGCTTCATAGCGGTGGCTTCCGTGATGATTACATCGCCACGCTGAGTTGTGGGGTCCAGCAAGAAGTTCTTCCGCGGCGCCGAGCTGCGCTCTAACACCAGCTGCATCTGATCCACAAAACTCACCACTGCTGCTGGGTCGTGCAGCTGGCCCTGAGGCCCATTTGCCATGAGAAGGTACTGCGAACTGAGGTCGTCCATCGGAAGACTCCTCAATCCACCAAACACAACGATTCGTCTTTCCCGAGCTAATATATCACTATTGTGGGGATGAGCAAACAACACAAAGCGACACAGAAAAAAAGAAGAAACCAAAGAAGAGCGCCCTTAGTTCTCTATCACCTAGTGCACTATCTTCTTCACAGCAACCGAGGCTCCACGGAGCAGATGGCGGGAGAAAAACGAAATTAGTGTGATATCGAGCGCCCCGCCCTCAGAGACGTGCGAGGGGAAACGACGGAGAAAAGCGACGCCCGCTTCTGCTGCACTTCATGATCCTCACCGCACCATTATTTTCCTGCGTGCACTTCTCTCTCTCTCTCTCTCGCCCCCCCCCCAACTCTACCTGTGTGTGTGTGTGCATGTGCGGCGCCGTTACGCTTGAGAAAGAGAGTTGCCGTCCCATGTTACTTCAGACTCTCCTCCTTCTGGAGTGTATTAAAACGAGACGCCTTTCTTTTTTTGTTTTTGTTTCGTTCTTGTTGTTGTCTTGGAGACAAACGTGTGGTGCACACAGACGCTCACACAGACGCACACACACACTCTACACAGAAGAGGCGGCGATGGCGTCCTTGAACGCCTGGAGCGCCTTCTCGGCAAGCTCTTTGGAGGTGAAACGCATCACGAAGTTCTCTGGGAACCCCTCCTCGTCGTCGGTGTAGTCCTTGTGCGCCATCCACAGCAGCGCCTTCTCGTTCTGTGGGTGGAGCTTGACGTTCATGGACTTGAGGAGGAAGTGCTGCGCCCCAAGCTTGCCGATGCCCTCGCGGCGGAAGACAAACATGAGCTTGCCCTTGTCATCCTTCCTGCGCAGGATCTTCGCCACGCCCTGGCCGCGCTCCTTCCACTGGTTCTCGCCCTCGTCGAAGCGCAGCAGCTTCGCCGTCTCCTGCCAGACTACGTCGTACTTCTCCTCGCCGCTCTGCACATCCACGGGGGCGAAGCGGGCGGCACCGCCGTCGGAAACCGCCACCTCCTCAATCTCCATCAGCTCGTTGCCATTTTTCTCCTCTGCCATTGGCACTGTCGTGGATTAAGTTGTGCTCCTCTTTTGGTTTATTAGTTTTGTTCACAACAAGAAAGAAACAAAAGAAACAAATAGTGATCATAAAAATGAGATCGGAATTTAAAATAATTCCTGCGCCGCATCTGTGGCAACTCACCCGCCTCACACTGGCAATGGCGCACACACACACACACACACATACACACACACACCGCCCTGCACGGTGACCATCACACATCCGCAGACTCAAAGGCCACGCAACTCCGCCAGTTGCGACAAGAGCGGCGCGGGTGGAGGCGGCGCCGTGACAGGGGCGGCGCACTGCACCAGAGACGAGCACATACCGAGTGATCGCTTCCGCTTCAGCCGTTCCTGCAACAAGGGCGAATCCTCTTCGGAAGCCCGCATGGAGTCCGGGGGCGTGGATGCGTTAACTACTGCCCGCCGGCGGATGTGGAAATCACCCCGCCTAGCCGTAACGCAAGGCTGCGTCGTGCCATCGCTGTCAGTCGGCGGTGTGTCGCTCCGCCACTTCTCCACATGGAGGTGCACAGTCTCGGGGGCACTCAACAACTGAGTGCAGTACGGCCGCCGCAGGTACGGCCCAAGCCGCTCCTCCACCACACCCTCCCGCGGCACGGCTTGTAATGCAGAGTCGTCACCGACATGGGCCGCAGCAAGGCAATGAAGTCAATAATTTGCTGCGGTGTACAGTGGAGAGTGGTGGGAATCCCCCACACAGAGGTGTCCCCGCCGTCCTTGCGCCGCTGCATTCGTGCCCAACCGGATATCACGATGCCGTAATGAGGTGTGCCACCATTCCGTGCGGCGGCGGCCTGCAGCTCCTCCGGTGCGATGCATTTGAGCGACGACACAACCTCCACGCGGGGGAGCATGGCGTCGGCGGGAAGCGGCGCGAAGCCACTCAACTCGATGCAGAACGCCTTGTTGGCCTGCGCAATCACAGAGTTAAACGAGGCGAGGAAACGCAGCCGCTCGTACCGTTCTGCGTCCACGAATGCCGTTACGCCTAGGCGAGTCGCGAGACGCTGTATGGTGTGTTCTTTCCCAAACTGGTTGTGCAAATACACCCGCAGCACGTACGGACCTGAAGCCGCGTCGGAGGACGGCCCGTTAAGCGAGAAGTCACGCACGCGCTGGTCCATGCGCCGATCCACCGCTTCGATCGTCTCCGCCAACTCGCTCTCCGGCAGCATCTTGCTGGCAACAGGCATACGTGGATTGCTGTGGGTCGAGGAGAGCGCCTGTGAGTGGCCTAAATGCAACCAAGTGTCGTCGATGTAGACGTGGTCCACGCGGTGCTCTGCAAAGAAGGGGTCGAGAAGTCGCCTCGCCGTCTCGTCGTACTTGAAGTCTCCCGTATAAAGAATGTTCCCAATTGGCGTCTCAAGGAAAAACATGACACTGCCTGGAATATGGAAGGCGGGCAAGAGGTACAACCTCACATCATCCCTCGCCTTATCGCTGCTGTTGCTACCGCCCGAAACCGAACTCCTCCCGACCTCCTCCATCTCTTGCATAGTAGCTGGGGTGGGGGATGCCACAACAGACATCCGAAACAACGTCGATGCCTGAAACAATGATTGTGACCGTATACGTTGCGCAAGGGCTACACCATACTTTTGTGTAACCAGGGCCCGAGTGACTTCATCGCAGATTATCGTACCAGCACTCCACACGTGCGAAAGTCCCTTCATGTGGTCCGTGTGGAAGTGTGAGAGAAGATAAAACGCATCGGGTATGCCCTCTGAGTTGTTGAAGTGGTCGATGTACACTGGAAATAACGGCGACTTCGTGGTCACGTGGCTATGGCACCCTTCATGTGTCTGATGGTTGGAAGTCAACGAAGGGGAAAAGGCCAGAGCGGCAGCACACTGATCGACAGCACACAAGATGATTGGGGAGAAAGGCATAGTGCACGACAAGCCCCGCACTCCACGCAGAGCCAAACAAAAGCGCGCACAAGGTTCGGAAGGTCGCGCTCAAAGCCCTTCGTTTTATTTTCGTTTGTTTTACTAAACCCTCACCAGCATCAAATTCTCCTCGCCAAGCAAGTCAACCGGGCGATCTGAATTTCTCCTACACCTGCAGGAACAAAGAGCACGACGAAGTCATGAATGGCGGTGATGTGTTTTTATTTTTATTTTTTTTGTATCGCCGAGAGAGTCAGAGATTCCCCGCATCTGCGGGATGTAAGTGTGGGCGACGACATGACCCTTCCACCCACCAAAGCATCACCAATTGGTCTCGATACCTCTTCAGTCGAACGCCCTGCGGTGCGCCTTGAAGTCCTGCTGGGAAATAAGAAGAGCCCGCCTTGCGCAACGCTCAACCAACCGGACAAATGGGTTCATCAATGTTAGTAGCAGCCCGCATGTGTGCCAACCACGGACCACAAACGTTGCGGGGGCCCAGCAGCTCTCGGCGTGGGCGCAGGCGAGGTGGAGGAGCGCCGGCCGAACGCCACTGCACCGAGTGTTGCGGCCATTCCGGCAGTTCCGCCATCCCTCTCACAGGCGTCACCGGGGGACACGGAGCGTGCACTGTCGCCCTTCAAGCCGCCGTCGCGAGGGGAGAGCGGCCCAGCGCCGCGCGCGGTCACCACGGAGCACCTGCCCGGTTTTCTGCCCCCACAACAACGCCTCCCCCCATACCACCACTCCGAGGCGGAGAGCCATCGAGACCAGCAAGCCAGCAGAGGAGGAACAAAAATGGAAATGATAAATAGTCGTAGAGTGAAAGGAGGGGCCGAAAGAAGAAGCATCCAAGCAAGGCACACATCACGCACGTAAACGAGACACCAACATCCGACCAGCTCTGTGGATTATTCAGGACCTGAAGCTGCTAACAGAGACTGTGGGAATACCCTGCATCTCCGCGCACTCCTGAAGCCGCCCAACAGAAGTAACGAGCATAACAGCAGAGCCTCTCCCATCGCGCAAGAAAGCAGCGCAACTGATGTAGCGTCGTTGGTCGTTTAGATTTTCCTTCAAATTGAATTCGGATAAGAAGCCGTTGTCCTCCTCACATCCTTTACGCTGAAACGTCAACCACTCTTCACGTCTATTTTGGTAAATAAATGCAAGAAGATCCCGCACACGATTGGAGTGGGCAACAGCCTCGCTGGATTTTTCGGTCTCAAGCGTATGCAACGCCTTCTTGTTCGCCATGTCCATTTCGTGAAGAAGCAACTCGGAGATGACAACAGTGTTCAGGCAGTAACCACCTGTCAGGTGCGGTATGATGCCGCGTTTGTGAGCCTCTAGCAGTGAGGGGAAATCGAAAACGAGCGTCTTGTGACACGGAAAACCATCATCATCAGTCCCTCCAGCCCCCACGCCAACGGAGAGTGGTCGATTCGCAAAGGTATCAACTGGAAGCCTTCGGAGGCGCGTAATGCGCAGGCCGGTGTCCATTCGCAGCGTCCCGCAGATTAATCGAGTAAAGAAAGAGGACCGCAAGGACACCACATACAAAAAGAAAACTGTAGAAAGAGAGTCCGAGAGAGAGAGAGAGAGAGAGAAGGAAGGAAATCCAGAGAAAGGGGGAAAAAGGAGGGTAAGGGATACTGGCACACGTTTGAGGGGAACGGCAGGGATAAAGGGCAAACACTTTCACAGTCAGAGATATTCTTCGTACATCTATCCGGATGATTCGGCTCATCATCTACATCGCATTTCAGCAGCAGCTGCAGCAGAGGCACAATTACGACAGCCATCACTACCACGACACCATATATATATATATATATATATATATATATATTCCATTTACACCTCTCGCTCCTTCTTCTTCTTCTTACCCCCAGTTTCCTTCTTCTCTGGAGAAGGTACATCCACTGGCGGGTTAACGCGACGGAGATGGAGTGGCAGACGTTGCGTAAATTCCTTCATCTGCGCCTGGTCCTCCGCACTCGGCGGCTTGACGTGAGTGATGGCGTGCAGAAAGTCGCATGATGACAGCGGTCGTTGCGCCAAACGCCGCACGCGCCGTTCGTGCAGCACCTCATTGACAATATTGTAGAGATCACCGCAGGTGAGTCCCTCTGTGAGGAGCGCAACTTCGTGGTAGTGTTCCGGTCTTAGCACATCGGCATTCGCGGTGCGCTTGGCTATGAGTTTCTGCAGCACGACAAGGCGTGAGGCGTAGTCGGGGTTGGCGCAGTGCACCATGTGGGCGAAGTTGGCCACCATGGCGTTAAAGTCCGCCTCCCACGGAGTTGACGTGGTGCCAATCACCATGACACGGTCAGTGGGCGCGAGTGCGGCGATGCTTTTAAGGACCTCCTTCTTCATCTTTTTCCCGCGTGCCAGCAGTGGATCCTTCGGCCCCTTCTTTTTCTTCTTGCGCATAAAGAGCTTCTCAACTTTATCGATGTATATGACGGAGGGCGCCAGCACTTTTGCGAGGTGGAACACCATCTGAATGATACCAACAAGACCGGTGTTGGTTTCGAAGTTCGAAGGAGAAAGATCAAAAAGATTTGCGCCACTGTGATTGCACACGGCGTGCACAAGCTGCGTCTTGCCGCTTCCAGGGTAACCGTAGAGAAGCAGCGTCCTGGAGCATGGCGCCAAGTCGTGAATCACCTGAGAGCCGAGCGGCAAGATGGCGTATTCCGCCACTGTCTGCCGCACTTGTGCCGCCGATGGCTCACTCAGCCATGAGGCCTGCTGGAGGTACTTCTCGAACAGCTTCTCAAAGACGTCCTTCTTCATCTTCATGGCCTCCTCGACAGCGGGGTTCCAGTTGTTCAGGATGCGCTGCCACTTCTTCTTGATTTCTTCATCGGGCTTCTGCAGACGCAGGAGCGTGTCGAGCGGGGACCCATGCACCGTTGCGCAGCCCAAATAATCTTCTAGTCGAATAGCTGGATCCGGCAGCTGCAGCACATTCTGATGCACTGCACTGTTCATGAACGTTTCAATGTTGACGCCCTTCGTCGGGTCCTTCAGCTTCGGCGCCCGTGGCTTCTTGGGTGCCTTCTTCTTTTTCCCACCCTTTCCTTTCTTTCCGCTGCGCCGCTCCTGCTCGAGTCGCTTCTTCAGGTTCTCCACCTCCACCATGATGAGCTGGTCGACGGTGCGCCGCAACTCCTCCATTATGCCGCGCGGTCCCTCCAGCAGCTGCTGTCGCAGGAGTCCCTCGTCGGCCGTCTGATCAAGGTCCACCTCCCGGTGGTACGTCTGGTCAAAGCGCGGCTTCCACACGGCGTGATAGCGCTCCTCCCCCGCCTTGATGCCTGACCACAAGTGCGTGGGGGCCATTGCCGGTACGGTTTCTTCCTCCTCACCCTTGCGCCGCACGGTGCTGCCGGTGTTGCGCGTCGGCGTGCGCGCCACGAGGGTGCCGACGAGCGACGATTGCACCGTGACGGAGCCCACGCGGCCGGTGGTGCCGGTGGCTTCGGGGATGTGCGCACTCGCGGCGGTAGCGTTGAGTGTCTCCAAATACTTCCGGCTTCCACCCTCCTCTGGCGTCGGGAATGTCAGTGGGGCGTCGTCCTTGCTCTCCATGCGCGCGTACGCCATGCGGGTGAGGACCTCGTTCAGCATCTCCTCCATCGTGCGCGGCCCTTCTTCGGCCTTTATGCGTGTTTCCAACTCAATCGCCTTCTGTTGGAGCTGCGCCTCGTTCATGCGCTGGCGCGCCTTTCGCTCCTCGAGGCGTACACTGGCGCCTGCACGCTCCACGTCGCTGAGGGTCGCCAAGGTTGGCCGCATCCCAAGTAGCTGCAGCTCCGCGACGTGATCCTCGCGCACCCGTTTGCGCGCGAGGTACGCCAGCACCGCCTTCTGCACCACCGTCGCCGCCCGCTCCTTGCCGGTGGCATAGTTGTAATCACCAGTACGCGCAATGGTGAGCTTTTGCTGCGCATGTGTGGCGAGCTGAAATTTTGCGCGCTGACGAGCCTGACGCCCTCGCTCATTGATTTGCAAAAGGGTCACCGCGTCGTCCAGCGTCATGGGCTTCGTATCCTTACAGCCTCTGACGTTCGCGGCTGAAGCGGTAGCAGTAGAAGCAGCAAGTGCTTTTGAAACAGGAGCGTCCGCCTCTGTCGTGCGGTAGTGCGCCTGCAGCGACATAATCTGGCGGTGCCGCTCCTGTATCTCCGTCTCGGTATCCTCCACGAAGTAGCGTGGAATCGGCACCTCGAGATCATCTGGGGTCATCTTCACGTCCAGCATGGCATCATCCAGCTTTACAAACTCACCACAATTCGTTGCTAAGAGGCTACGCACCTCGAGCATGCGTGCAATGCAGGTGTCAAGCAGGGTTCGCACATCATATCTTTTTTGTGGCTGCAGCTGCGCGTCGTGTACAGCAGCTAGTCGGCGCACAGTCCGCAGGTACTGCATATAGAGTGAGGTAAAGTACTGCAGCAGCTGCTCGTACCGCTGCCTTCCATTAGGCGGGACCCGCAGCTTGGTGAGGTTTATGTCCTCCTTCCATATGGTCGCGAGGTCCTCGAGGGCCTGCTTGTAGTCGTCCTCATACGTCAGCGACGACATACCGCCACGTGATCTTTTCCGCCCCAGTCCCCCCCTTCCAACCTACACCAGCACGTTCAGCACAAAACAAAAAAAAAAAGCGGAACATCATACAGAACGAGAATCAAAAAAAAAAAACATGCACCACGCACCGCTGCAATGATTCCAACACCAACACTAAGAATAACACGCGAGGCAGACGTCGTGCCTTGAGAAACAGGCACATACAAGGAGTGGAGTGGTGCTCCTGAGGGTACAAGAGACATCGCATATATGGTGGGAGAAAGAGGGCAGGAGGCGCCGCGTCCACTCTGCCGCTCTGGTGGCGGAGGCACCCCCAGCTGCGCCGCCAGCGACAAGAGGACGAGCAGCACGCACCACCACGGCCAATAGGCACACTACAGCCACACACACCTACACGGCAGTTACACACAAAATTCGATGGGAAGAGGATGCTCGACTAGACCTTGCTCTTGGAGAAGCCCGTTGCATTACCCCCCAGCAATATCCCTCCTCTTCCCTCCTTTCCATTATCAAATTTCACAAAACAAAAAAAAACAAAAAAAACACGTGCATGATTCTTTCTCTTGTGTGATGTGCGTGTTTCGCTCTCCCCTCGCGACCCACGCGCGTCCCCGTTCGGTAACAAAGAAAAAGGGAAGACGAAAACAAAACAAAAAAAAAAAAAAAAANAAAAAAAAAAAAGAGAAAATGACGCAACTAACAGAGAAAACAAAAACAGCCTCGTCACTGTGCACTCCGCGTGGCCACGGGAGTGGGACAACAGCAGCACGCCCCAACACCCCAACGCCACGCATAGCCACGAGGAGCGCAGAATATCCGGACGCCCACGATTGTGGTTTTTTTTGTTTGCTATTATCTTTGTCTTACCGCTTGCAGTCGCCACTCCACGAGGCGCTCCCCCGCCCGCCCATGCGTCTATTCATTCCTCCCGTGTGTCCTTGCTTGACGTTCCGCTCTTCGTCGTGTTGCTGCTGTTGTTGTTGTTGTTTTTTCGTTTCAGCCTTGGCGCCCACCGGCACCGCACCGCACCGCACCGCGTCCCCGTCGCCCTGCACTCCGACCACCGCCACCACCCGTATCACAATCATTGCCATTGCCAGCAACGCCACCGGCGAAGCCAAACCGAACCGAAGAGGAATGTGACGCGGGAAGAAGTAATATTCCGTATGAGCTGCACACACCAACGCACGCATACATATATATATGTATATATATGTATATATATACACTCACAGAGATACAAACAGAGTGCACCGAAGCCAAAGAGCAACCCTCCAAAACAAAAAACAAACAAACAAAAAAAAACAGAAGAAAACTCCAGAATACAAGGGGTGGACAAAGAAGCCTGTGCCACGTCCATGAACAATGAGAGGGTGTGAATGGCTCCACATGAATATTGACCGTGTTGCACATGTAGAAGGAAGCCCCCTCCCCTCAGATTGCTTGATCCGAGAAAAAGGCAGTATGCCTCTATTTTTCCAGTCCGCTACCCTCTTCCCTTTTTCTTTCCACCGCTTTGCTGCCGTTGCTCTTTTGGTGTTTGTGGTGCTAACAACCAGAATTTACACCAACTCCTCTTGGCGGGAATTCTCTACTGGCTCTTTGCGCATCCCCGACTCCTTGAGGGCCCTTTCGTGCTCCTGCTCCGCTATGTCGCGCGGCGTAGGCTTCAGCCGCTTCTGGAAGTGGAGCACCGGCAAGTCAACGACGAGGATGAGGCCCCCTAACAACAGTAGCACATACAACCAGAACTTGGCCCCGGTCATCAGTACATAAATGTGCCAATACAGCGTGGCGTTGCCAACGTGTTGGATTGCTGAGTACGTCAAGAGGAGGCAGACGAGGAACAAGGCAGAGAGGCCGATCCCCACATATTGCATCCACCGCCAGTAACGCACCTGCAGTCCGAAACGACTAAGGACGACACACACGAGTGAGAAGAGCATCATTGTACCTACCATGTCGCCGCCGATGTTTCGCGTGCCATCGTAGTCCAGTTTCACAGCAGTTGGATACATCACGTAGAATATGACCAACGCGTGGAATATCGACTCGGCAAGCCACTGCAGCAGGACGACGTGATCAAAGTACAACCCACGCGAGAGCGGCACAAAAAGGTCTGGTCGGCTCACCAACACCTCGGCGCAGAGGTCCTTGTCGAAGATGCCCATAAAGAACGGTGGGATGCTCGTCAATACCGTGTTGTAGAACGTCAGCAGCCACCCATCGAACAGTGTAAGTCCCGAGAATCCACAGTAAAATGCAAAGACCACTTGAATAAAGGAGAGCGTAATATTCTTGTAAAAACTTACAACAATACAGCTCGCGTTACGCACCAATGAATAACGCCCATGGACAGCACAGAGATATCGCAGATTTTTGAATCGCGGAATGGCGTAGTCGGCTGCCAGCACCGCCTGTGTTCCCTCGAGGCCGACGATACCGATGCCAACGCGCCCTTCCTGAATCATTGACACATCATTCGCCCCGTCACCAATGGCGATTGCAGTGAGACCTGTAGACTTTTGGAACATGCGCACAATATTCGCCTTCTGGAGTGGTGTAAGTCGGCAGCAAACCGCCGAGTTTACCTCCTGCGATAACCGCAGGAACTGCTTGAAGTGATGAGTCATCGCAACGCCGAGGGCAAGACCATCTATGACAATAGTGCAGCGCACACCCTCCTCCCTCCCGCGCTCCACGTGGAGCTCTACCTGGCGCAGGTCCGCGCCAACCTTCTGCACTGCCGCCTCATCCTTCGGGTCAAGAGATCCAATGTCGATATGCAGAACAAAGTCTCGTCGCGGGTCGCACAACATTGTCGTGGCGGCAATCGTCAGGGCCGTCTCTCGTTTGTCGCCGGTGAGCATCCATATAACAACACCCGCATTGAGGAAGAAGGACACCGTTTCCGGTACATCGTCCTGGAGCTTGTCTTCAATGGCAGTCGCCCCGACAAGTCGAAGCTCCCGCTCAATCTCTATACAAACCTTGTCCACCACCTCACTACGTCGCACGAGCGTTTTACCCGCGGCGATAAAGCGTGCATGCCACACTTTGAACTCCTCCTGTGTAAGGTCACGCGCGCCAACGAGGAGAGTGCGCAACCCGGATTCACCCATCTCCGTGAGCGTGCTGTCCAAGCCGATCATATACTCCTGCACTTCGCTGTCATTGGAGAGTTGCTGCCGAAGAGAACTGTCGGCACCTTTTGTAAAGAGGATAATCCGCGGTGTGTTGCGTTCCTGCACAATGATACTCATCATCTTCCTATCGGGTGTGAACTCAAGAGTGGCGAGAATATCGAACACACGGTTCTGTTCCTCTACTTCCACTGTCATGGAACGCGAGGTACGTTCAACCAGGCGGAAACCGTGCTCGGCTGCAGTGGTGACAAGAGCCACCTCGTCTGGTGAACTTCCCTCGTACACGATACCCAGTGGATTGCTATCGTCATTGAACGGCTGGACGGTGTGACAAATGGAGAGGGCAAGGAAATATTCCTCAGCAGCAGCACGTGTTGGGCTTTTGTGGTCCAGCAGCTCCAACGATGCAGCCCAGCTGTCACAACAAATGGTGTGGCCTTTGATGTCGCCTGTCTTAAACTTCATGACATTCTCTGTCAGCGTCCCAGTTTTGTCCGTGAAAATGAAGCGCACCATGGCGAGCTGTTCATTCAAGTTTGAGGTGTTGGGCACGCAGCGACGCCACCTTCCATTGACAAGCTCCATCATTTTGGTATCCCGCCGCATCCAATGCACTTGGATGACTTTGCACACCTCGATGGTCACGAAGAGCGAGATTGGTATGAAGTAACTAAGCAAAATAAAATACGTGACGTAGCGGCGAAACCACAGCACAGTTTCACTGTTCTGCTCAAGAAACCAGCGCATGTACCAATGGTCCTTATGATGATTGCTCCACCATACAGCGAGTGAACAGAGCACAATGAGAAAAGCATTCTGCATTAGGAATACGACGATGATTAACGTGTTCAACTTATGATCCAAATCTGAGGATTTTGGTGGTCGCTTCTTCAAGTTACGAAACATCTTGGTGTCTCTACCAGCGTAGATAACGAAGCCCCACAGCCAGTCCGTCTTGCGCACGACACAGCCACGGTAAAGGAACTGGTTGAGATCCACAGCATACTCCTCGCCGTTGAAGTCTATCCTCCCGTTCCACGACAGCAGCCCGGGGTCGGGCGGTGTGGTGTGCATTGTGAGCCGCGCCGTCTGCACCGCCTCTGTCGAGCAGAGTGGCCACGTCATCTCCATCGCCTTGCGACTTTTAAGACTCGCTTCACCATCCAAGTTGCATGTGTCAATGAACACCTGTCCCTCTTCCGTGGATGAGGAAAGTAGGAAAATGTCCGCCCGGACCTCCTCGCCGTTGTGTACGCGCACTACATCCCCCGCCCTCAGGTGCCGACTCGCGATCCGCACCATCTCACCGTTCACAAAAGCCTCCACCTCAATTGAGTTCGCTCTGTTATCTGCCCGGTGGCGTTTGTACTCCTCAGCGCCCTCTTTAACTAGCGCCACCGCTACGACAAACACAAGTGGTGCTATTGCTGTCGCAGGGCTTATAGGCGAAACGCCGGGGATGAGGGAAAGAACCATACAGACGAGGAAATAAAAGTTGCTCACCTTTCGAAATTGCATGAGCAGAGCCAGCGGTAGAAAAGTGACTATGGTGTAATCAGATGTCTTAATGAAGTTGTCGGGGTAATCGAATGGCGCATTCGCATGAGGATCGTTCATATGCACGATGACTTCAGCATGTTCATCATTCTCATCCCCATCGTGGCCACAACAGAAGCACCAATTGCAACCATGTATTCGGGGACAGAACGTATCCCTCATGGGGCTTTAAAGCGGGCAAATAATGCTATCTGTCTCCTTACTTCACCTCTTGAATGTATATATATATATATATATATATATATATATATATGTCNTATATATGTCTGTAGGTCTGTAAGTGACCTCCTCCCCTTGTCTTCTACTTGGCCTCGTGGAGGCTAGGCACAAATCCCTTCTCTTCCTCCCTTCTTCCCTTCGTTGCTGGATGCAGGCACACACACACACGTACGCCCACAAGGAAAGAGACCGGTAACAGCGTGTTACACCACGACTTAAATAAAGATACTTCATCAGAGAAATAAGGTCAATAGAAGCAAAAGAAAGAAAGAAAGGAAGCATATAGAACGTACCACTCACGCAGCCTTTTGTTTTTCCTTTTTTTTTGTTGGCTTGCCCGACCACACTCCCATAAGACACCTCACAAGGCAGAGCACGGTTAGCAAAACTCACTCCAGCGCAGTCGCGTGAGCCGGTAGATTCAACACCGCCACGTGCCCCTTCCGGTCCTTGACAGCGATGCGGCCGCGACCCTCCATCAGCTCCCGCACCAACAGCAGTGCCTGCGCCGGCGAAACGGGCACAAGCCCGTGGCGCTCGTACGCCACCACCACATCGCCGTCGCCATCGCCGCCCTCACCCTCGCCCTCAACCTCCTCATCTTCTTCATCCCCTGGATCTCTTTCCTCATTATCATCAGCACCGTCTTCTTCCCGCTCACGCCTCCGCCTCTTCGCTGCGCGAGAGGACAGCAGCTGTGGTAAAAGCGGAGGAAGGCAGAGAGCGACGCGTCCTCGGTGCGCCATCACTGCAGCAGTCGCACGCTCCTCCGTGGCAAACACCACTGCCACCGCGCCGCCACCGCTTCGACTTAGTTGGCAGCGGTCCACAACATCATCCAATGTATCGGCCAGCGACGGGGAAACACATGCGCAGAGAGAGTACGAGTGATCTGCGAGCTGCGGAGGAAGTGGTTGTGGTGATATAACGCTCTTATCAGTTGCCTCAACGCGGCCACCACGCCTCACCCGAAATGTCTCGCCGTGTAGCGTTGGTGGTGACGTCTCCCCAAGTCGATGCAGTGCATCTGCCGCCGCTACCTCGCTAGCAAAGTGCGCGTAAGCGTGGCCCTTGTGTGAACCACTATAGGAGCCGCGCAGCAACTGAATGTGTGTTGCGTCGGGGAACAGACCCTCAAGAAAACCCTCCACCTCATCCGCGGGGACACTCTTAGGGAGTTTGGACACAAAGAGCTTGGGCATGTCCAACAGGCAATAAATGCTGGACGAAGGGGGCCTTTCTTCCTACTGAAGGCACGTGTTGGGGAGAGAAAAAACCAGGGAAAATACACGAGGCGCCTCCATTGTGTAGTCCAGGAGAGTTTGAGGTAGGCTATTAAGGATTCCGTGCAACTGTGCGAAATCACCCACCTCACCTCACCTCACCCTCACAGCAAAATGCAATTCCAATTGCCGAATCATTACACCCAATCCGCCTCCCTCAGAGAAACATACACACACACACAAAAAAAAAATCCCTCCCTTCATTTCTTGATTAAGCTGGCGAGGATTTCTTGGTTTTGCGCCTCGATACGGCTACTTTGGCGCTGTAGTTCTGCCAGCATGGCGTTGACCGACACAATTGAAAATTCGCTTACGGCACTACCCGCACTACTGGGCCGCTGCTGCTGGCGCAACTGCAGCCTTGTGTAAAGGCGGTTCACTGTAGAGAACAGCTCCTCCACCGTTTCATCGTCTATACAGTCCGCATCGTTGTCTTCATCCTCTTTCTGCTGGTCGTACGCCTCGGCAAGCTCCTTAAGACGGTCACGTATCTCCAATGACCTTGCGCGAACAGAGCTTGACGAGGACGACGCAGACAAGTTCCCAAACGGCTGCACAAGCGCCATGTTAACTGGGTCGTGGTGCAGTTGCCGCTGAACATCCTCGCGCTCCATTGAGTCGATGTTCACAACGTCGTCCTCCGGTGTCCTCATTGGGCTCAGCGACGGCTGCCCTTTGCGCGCGGGGCTCCGCACACCGTACGCCGGAGCCTCGGCGAACGTCACCTTCGCGCGATCCTGCGCCAATACGTCGGCTGCAAGCGAAGGTGTCATGTCCGCCTCACTTTCGGAAAGGGTACGCAACCTAAAGGTGGGCTTCGACTCAATGGAAGTAAGCGCCGATACCTCCACCATTGACGTGGATACACCCACATCAAAACTTTCAGCGGCGCCAAGCACTTGCGGCAGCTCCGTTGGCACACGGTCGCTTTCCCACTTCCGCAACGGCGGGAGCGGGTGATCTAGAGGTGTCGAAGGTATCTGCAGTATGCTGTTTCCCTGGGCCAATATAAGTACACCGCTGGTGCTTCTAGTTGTAGCGGTAGTAGGAGCAGTAGTAGTAGTAGTAGTAGTAGTAGAAGCTGTTGTTACTGTTGTTGTAGAATTGGCTGGGGCACTTGGTGATTTTTTTGTCGCCGTTGCCGCACTCACCCTCTTGTAAGCACCCTCGTGCTCTTTGTGTTTGCGCCGTGTAAACTCGTAGAAGCCGTGGAGGTCCTTGAAACGAGACTGTAGCTCAACATTCGTTGGCCCACCGCATGATGATGATCGTTGAGTGCTGCAGCGCCCTCGGTGTTGTTGCTTCTGTTGAGTAAGTCGTTTGGCATCGGGCACAGCCCTGCTTGCAGCTGATGAGGATGTTGTTGATAATGCGTCGAACCCTGTGTCAGTCAGTGCGTGTAAAGTGAAGATGCCCCTGGAGTCGCACAAGACGAGGCCACTACCATCGGCTGTGAAACCGACACTCATAAGAACCGTCATCTGGTGGTTCTGTGCAGCGCGCTGAAAATTGAGATGTGTGATGCATTTTCTATCGGCGAGGCTCACAACAGAAAGTTCGCCTTCGCTGCGCAGAGCAACGAGCCCCCCATTCGGCGCAGAAACCACCTCCTTCAGCGCAACAGCCTGCAACGGCTCTCCGACGGGCTGAAGTGTGTCGACTTCCACAACAACGCAGCCGTGGCGGTGCACCACTAGCAACGCATCGCCAGCAGCAGTAAACGAGATGATATCAGCGCTAAAAGACACGTTCTTTCCAGTCTGCAGGTTCGCCAGCAAATGGGTCGAAGCAGCGCACAGTGCACCTTCTGCCCACACAAGTTGTGTCAATGGCACCTTGAAGCTTGTCAGACGTGTGGTGTGTAATGCCTGCAGGGAGAATTTTGTACCCTCGTTCCACCGTCCCTCAAAGTAAAATAAACTGTTATCGGGGGAAAGACCCACAAACTGGTTCTTTCTATATGCAACAAGGCTCGTTAGCGGCTCAGCCACACTGAGTCGGCACAGCACCTCCTCCAGGTTGGGCATAATCGCGGCTATTTCGTACGCGGAGGGCACGTATACCAGCAGAACATTAAGATCAGTGTGATAGGTGGCGCAGGTGCTCTCAAGAGCCATGCTGCTGCATGACCGCAGCGTCATATCGTAGAGTCGCAGCCGCTGCGGAGACCACAGACACAGCACGTTCGCCGCCAGTGGTATCCACCGCAGCGGCTCCTCATCAGGCAACACCGGCGTGTATTGGTAAACACACTGAAACGAAAGCTTAATCGTCCCACTCGTGGATTCTGTGACCCGGTACCGCGACAGATCACCGCCGCTGTAGAAGAGCATAAGCCTGTCACCATTTGGGCATACTGCGGCTCCAGTGCACAGCGAATCCATTAGCCGCGTCAGGAACGAAGAGCTCACAACCGTTGGCGGACCGTTCTGCTTAATCTTTCCACGAAACTCCCAGCTATCGGCAGAAAAGAAGCGGACCAGCGCACCACACACAATGACGTTGTTCGCACTTTGATAAGCCGCGGTGGCGGGGCACACCTTGCAGTCCATCCACTTCACCGCCGCCCCACTGCGACAATCGAAGGAAACCAGAAATCCAACCGTTGTCAGTGCCGTCAGCGTGGTCTCGCCCTCAACGGGTGGCACCAACGCAACAAATTCGGTGTCCCGCAGCTCGCTCACAACGCTGCAGGGTTTGCTTAATACCGTCAATGTGCCACTGCCGGTATCTTCGCACTTTGCGGTCCCAGTGCTGGCGGCCAGAGAGGAAGAAGAGGCTGCAGCAGCAGCAGCAGCAGCAGAAGCATTTTTGCTGCCTTCCTGCGTCTTCGCCTCGCCCACGTCGGACCGTTGCACACTCCACAGCGTCACTTCCCGTGACGTGCAGGAGGCGAAGCCGCTGGAGCCCGGCAGTGCCACAATAACATCAAGCGCATCAGCGCAGCCTCGCCAGAGCAACGTCCGTGTCTGCACATCCCACAGAGAGAGACGAAAGCGGTCCTTCGCGAGCTCTTTCATGCCGCATGAGACCACTAGCACGTCCGAGCTCTCGTGAACACTATTGAGGAAGCACGCGGCAAAGACGCTCTCCCCTGTAAGCCGTATGGGCAGCTTTGCAGTTGCCCCAGCGAATGTTGGATCTGACGCAGTGGTTAAGTATAAGCCGCTATCGGCAGTTCCAATGCAAAGCAGGTCTCTACTTTGATGCAGGTGAATCACGGACAACTTTTCACCATTTTGTAATAGCACTGTTCGAGTCGCATCTACAAAATCGGCGCCACGAGAGGTGGTGGCATCATTATTGTTATCAGGCGAATCAACAGCACCGCCGTGCTTCAAGGCGCACACCACCACAATGTCTTCTGCGCAGCTGTAGGCGAGCCACCTACCGCCACCACCCACCGAAACCTGGGAGGGAGACCGGACGGCGTGGCCGGCGACCATTGACACACGGCTCATTTTCCTTCCTGCAATGACCAAGAACAAACAGGGAATTGTTTCACCGCCGTGCTGCAAAAGGGAACTAGAAACACGGTAAGAGTAGCAGCAGAAGCATCAGCGAGAAAAAAAACGCTCAAAACGGTGAGGGCCACCAAGACGAGTGATCACTGCGTCAAAGCACCTGCCGCATGTCTTCTGCGATGGGGTCCCCTGAATGAAGAAATTGCTCAAATGCACGTTGGGCACCCCGCACGTTGCACTTGTGAAGCTCCACACTGACGCCAGGGTCTGCCGAAATAATCAACACATGTGTGCAATTCGTAAAGGGGTGCAGCAGTGCGGTAAAAGTACCTGTCGTGATTTGAAATCCATCCAGACTTGTCGTGTTATTCATGCAGCTTAGCTTGAAGTGCTTTACCGTCTCACTAACCTCTGTTGTACGCAATTCGCACGTTGACGAGCGAAGTGCGTCGTTATCATTGCAACAATCGCTCCCATTGCCGTCGCCACCATAATTGTTGTTAGCGTCCTCGCGGCTGACGTGCGTTAAGCAGAGAAATGTGCTGCGTTCGTACAGTGCCACTTCAACAGCGTTGCAGGCCTTTAGCAACTTCCTCATCTCCTGCATGAGCACATCCCGGTGGGGAATGAGGGAGCGCACAACATTGCTGTACGCCAGGTACAACGAGTTGGACCAGATGCTCGTGGCGAAGAACTGAATGTTATTCGCCACCTCATCACCCTCGAGGCGCTCGAGAATCTCCGCTTTTCGCGACTCAAAAATGGCCTCGCGGAGATCCTTTGCAATGAGGTCAATCTTGTGCAACAGCACAAATATCTTCGCGTGAGGGCTGTACTGCTTAATGTAGCGCATCGCCGCCTGAAAGTACTCCAGCATCTCGGGCCGGCTCCAGTTGGTCGACATGCCGTTGTACGCGTCACTGCTGTCGCGGCTCATGCTGTTGATATCGAACACAAAGAGCATGATGCCAACGCTGCGGAAGATGTACTCCTTCTGGCGGCTCAGGTACTCCGCGACATAACGGTGCTGGCCGCCGCAGTCCCACAGGGTGAGGTACAAATTGTTAAGCATGCGGACTTGGTTCTGGTCGAGTGAGATGGTGATGCCGAGCCGCAGTGCATCGCGTGGCAGGTAGTTGTCGAAGATGATACTCCGCATGCACGTTTTACCGGCGCCGCCGGGGCCCATCAGCAGCAGCTTCTGAATCTGGTCCTGCATGGCCTTCGTGTGCGCAGCAGAAGGAAGAAGAGGAGGTAAAAGAGGTACATGGGCATGGCTCCTGCTCCACAAAGCAACCACATTCTAAACTCGGTTTTTTTTTTTTTCATTTTCTTTATTGTTCTTGTCGTCGTTTGGCACATTTGCCCGACGGTTTGGCCAATACTGCCATGCATGCGCCCTCTCGATGCACAGCCCCAGAGCAGGAGGAAGGCAAGAGGGGGCGAGCCATCGGTACGAAGCGCCATTCTCCCGCATCATCCACCACGCCCTGACGAAGCCGCGGCTGCGCGGCGTGGCACCGCCGTCACGCCCACCGATGCACACCGAACGAAGCAAACTGAAACCGCCAACGTGGGGCCTTCCCCACGCGGGGGAAGCATGCTTGACGGCATACTTCGCCGCAACGAGGCCAGCGTTATCTGGCGTGACACAACTGAGCAATCTCCACCTCATACGGCGGTGAACCCGTTTTACTGCCCCGCTTCGCAGTAGACAGAGGCGCACAACAACAACAACAACAACAGCAACGACGACGCGTTGCTAGTGTTGCGGTTTCATGACAAGACCACACTCTCCAACTGAGCCTTGCTGGCTATGACAACGCTAGAGAGCCCAAAGAGGCAAATAAAAAGAAACGGGTATGCACACGTCCATAAAGAGGAGACGCAAAGAAGCCCCTCTGGAATACTGCAAAAAAGTGCCGCTTTCATTCACCGGAAAGCGTAACTTATGGGCACTGCTGTTTATTCTCGTTACGCTGTGAGAGTAGTGATGCAGGGACTCCACACGGAGCCCCGCCCACAGACAAGCACAGACGGAGTTATATAGATGCACCATGAATTTCTCACCGAAGGGAGTACATGTATCACAGGTCGGTGCGAAGGAAGCGTGGAGGTTGCGTGGGTGCGACTATGGTGACGCAACGGTAGGAAAAAAAAAAACAAAGAAAAAAAGATGTGTAACAAAAAGAAAGAAAGAGAAATGGTCACAAGTTTATCTATATAGGTACGCACGAACACACAGATACACACAGACGGGCGAAAAAAAAGATAAGAGATGTGTTAGAGCATGGCCAACGGTCACTCCAGAAATGCTGAAAACACAAACTCTGTGAGCTGTTTTGGTGGGGGCGGTGAAGATGGGTTCGAGTCGATCGACGACGTGAACTGTTTAAAATACAGCTCCTTTTCCGATTGCGAAGGCTGCACGGTCATAACAGCCCCTAGATTGTTGTTGTAACCACAGTAGTTGGGCACTGAAAAGACAGTAAGAACCTTCCCGTCATGGGTCCAAGCGTAGCCCTCAGACACCACTTGGTGAGCTCGGCATATGAAGTCAAATTTGTTGAGACGGCAGAACTCCTGGCTGGCCTCCACACCAAACAGGTATCCGCGCCCCCGCACATTCCGTGCGTAGAGTGGCGTCGACTCCGTTGGGTCAGACCACAGCAGGCCGTCGACAACTTCATTAAGGACGTTGTCCAATACATTCCCGTAGTCTGACCTCTCAATGGTTGAAATGATATCAACCGAAGATGTCAACTGCGGGGACAAGCCACCGTGCGAAGCAAAGAACCGCTTCCTTGGCGTTGTGACGACAGCAGCAAGGGGCAGGTAGCAGAACACCTCGTTGAAGCGCACCCATGCGGCATCACTCCCGAACTTCTGCAGCACCTCATGGAAAAAACCGTAAAAGCGAGACGTTTGTGAGTCCTCGTGGTTGCCGCGTGTCATGTAGATGAGCTGCGGGTACTCCACCTTGAGCGCGAACAGCAGCATCACCACCTCTACGCCGCACGGGCCACGGTCCACGAAGTCGCCGAGAAAGAGAAATTTGCGGTCGCTGCCGTCCACATTGAGCTGTCTGTCCGACTGCTCCGACAGCACGTGGGCGACGAGGTCGGAGAGATTGCCGTGGATATCGCCGACCACCACAAGCGTCTCGTCTTCCACCACGCGCACGTCGAGCATTGCCTGCTCCGCCGCAACGACGGCGCGCACCTCCTCGCACAGCTTGTCCACCAGCCCCATGCTAAAGAGGCGCCGCACCTGGTCTTCCGCGCACGGCGTGGTGAAGTCACTATCGGGCCTCTCAGCGGTGCTCGACGCCGCTGACGTCGACGCCGATCCGAGGCCGCTGTGCAGCAGGGTGTCAATGAGATCCAGGAAGACGCCTCGGCGCGGTGGCACGGCAAAGAAAGCGGACGGTGGAGCGGACACACCGTTGGATGAAGTCCCAGACGGGCTGTTGACACGCTCCGTTGTCGCCGCGGCGCACTCACCGTCTGGCTGTAAATTGCCCAGCCGTACATTGTCGTCGTCGTCGTCGTCGGTGGCGGCGCGCGTGCACGCAATATCATCTCTATTCAGCGCGTCTCTCTTCCAGTCATCACAATCTACAGCGCTGACTGCGCCACTCGATTGCTCCAAGTCTGTACTCATTCCGCTTCGCTGCGCCACGTAGGCTGTCACCGATCTTTTTTTTTCTTTTTGGTGGGGGGTTTATTGGCTCGCACACGGAGGACACGGAGACGGCAGCTTGCTCCCAGCAACGAACGAAGGCGAAGTGTCTGAATTCGCTTGGTCTCGAGGACGCCCGCCGCCTATGCAGCAACTACGTAAGCGAACGGAGAACAAAACACACACACCCACACACGCAATAAAAAGAGCAACATCAAGGGGTAAAAAAAAAAAGGAAGAAGAAAAGGAAGTGCTATTGACAGCAGTGACCGGCGGTAACACGGCAAAAAGGTGGTGCACGCCACAGACCGGTATGGGCATTTCGGAGGGATGAGGGACGGAGAGTGCGGGCGAGCAGCTCCACCTTGAGCCTGGCCCGTTCTGTGCCCGCACACATACATGTATCCGTGTGTCTCTTCGGCAGCACCGCACAGCGCAAACGGGGGACGAAAGTAGGAGTAGAGAGTCTCCGAGATCATTTCTTACGCAAACACGAGATAATTTCATCTCCATTTCCCCGCTGTTGTTGTTGTTGTTTCTTTTCCCTCTTTCCTCTACCCCTTCTTTTCCTTCATTCGCCAGAGTGTATCGTACCTTTTTTCTGCGTGTATGTGTGTGTGTTTTTTTTGTCGTTCGTCTCTTCTTTTCTTTTCTTTTCTTCCGGCCACTGATGTGTGCCCACTCCTCTTGTAGTTGTTGCCGTTTCCTATTTTCCTCCGCAGCCGCCTCCACCCCGCTCGCCCGACCGCCGCCCTCTCTGTGCCTCCCCCCCTCTCCGCTGCCCGCGTTGATGCCCCCCGCCCGCGTCCCACCCGCACAGCGGCGGGGGG